GGACTGTGATGGGATAGGAGGAGTGTCTGGAGGAGTGTCTTGTATCTAGCAAAAGGACAGGGGTGGCAGGCCGGCCCCTCCTGCTTGTGCACATAAGCCACATGCATCTTTGTACATTGTATGTTTGGAAAATGGTGGCTGTCTCCTGCCCTGGCAGATAACTTAGTATTATAATGAAGACAGCTTAACTTGGGTCATGAAGATCTCATTTGGATTGGTTTCCTGGCATTTGTACTGCTCCTCTCTTGTGACGGCCTGGCCCCCCTGAGTAGTACTGCAGGGCAAGCCCTCCTCTGGTACGCTGTCGAAGCCTGCTCTGTCCCTATTGGCTCAATCCCACAGTCTGTTACAGAAAAGCCGATGGAAAACTCAAACAAGATCTTAACCTAGAGGTGTTGGAATGTTCTCAAATCCCTCAAGGGACTGCACTACCAGACATGGCCACTGAGTGGCACTCATGCCAGGCAGAGCTGGCTCTCGTTCCCCCGCTCCCACCGGGCCTGTGGCTGGCAGTCCACAAAGGGAAACCCAGTTTGGCTGAAAACCAAATTTGTAATTCTGGCAAATTGAAATCGAAGGATGGACACGGAACCAATGATTCTTCCTTGAAAGGCACTTCGTTGTTCTGTAGACTAAGTTTCACTTTAATGGCTGGAGAAGGTGCGACACTGGATTTCAAAGAGTTGGTACCCCCCCAAAAAGAGCTGGTCACTGACATATTTTTTAATGAATTACCTGTGGAAAGGACAGTGTGATGAGCAGCACAGTTGAAGGGAGTCTCACCTATTTGTTTTTACTCTTTACTTAAACCAAACATTTTAAGCTACTGATGCGGCAGGTGTAAGGATTCGGTGGGGTGGGGCTGACCACAGGCCTCAGCCGGGGTAGCTGGGGCTTACAGAGAATGGATGGAAGGGCTGCCAGGCCATGGGGCTCAACAGGCAGGGCCGCCTGGGGGACAGCACACACTTCTGATGCTGAGAAAATGGAGGGCACTTCTGCCAGTCTCCCAAACCTATGTCTTTGGTCTCTGTATCTAAGGAGGGATCCACTTTCATCAATCCAGCTGGCATCTACAGTGGCTGCACTTGGGTGGGTGGGCAGAAGAGCCAGGAACTTGATGCTGCACTGAGGGCAGGAGACAGACAGGCCTCTGGGGGACAGAGAGGCAGTGGGGGCCATGGGCACCTCAAAGATCTCTCCTCACAGGAGTCTGGGCCAAGTCTTCCATCTAAGAAGAAATGACACCTGCTCCTTAGGGCAGGCAGGCAGAGCTCAAGAAGTGCCTGTTCTGGCCATCTGCTGCCCCCACTCAAGCCTCAGATTTACTTCCAGAAAAGACAAGAGGACCCAGCACGGTAGCCTAGCAGCTAAAGTCCTCATCTTGCACACACCAGGATTCCATATGGGTGCTGGTTCATGTCCTGGCAGCCCTGCTTGTGGCCTGGGAAGGCAGTCGAGGATGGTCCAAAGCCTTGGGACCCTGCACCTGCACCCACATGGGAGACCTGGAGGAGGCTCTGGGTTCCTGGCTTCAGATCAGCACAGCTCCAACTGTTGCAGCCATTTGGGAAGTGAATCATCAGCTCTTCCTCTCTGTATATCTGACTTTCCAATAAAAATAAATTTTTGTTTTGAAAAGATGGGAGAATGTGGAATTTGGGCCTGTAAACTTTCTGGTTTGGGGATCCCTTTGAAAGGAGAGAGCCCCACAGAATTTGATTACATTTCGCACTGACAACCAAATCACAAGGGAAAACTAAAGCACTAAAAATAACGCCAGCTAAATCCCTTTTAAATAGTGGTAACACCCATTACTTGCCATGCAGAACATTCCTGCAACGCAACCACAGCTTCCCAAGCAGAAAAGATGACTGCAAAGAATGGAGCTACAATGAGTCCGCTATTCCTGTACCTTGCATCTTTCCACCTCTGCAAGACCCCACTGCATGGACATATGGGACAGGGAAGAAGCAAAAGGCACCTGGATATTTTTGTGGGAAAGCTTAAGCTCGCAGAACCTCTCAAAGAGATTCAGGACTCCCAGGGACCCCTGCCTGGCACTCCGACCACACCCACACTCCACTCTCAGAATGCAGAGTCCCTGATGTTCCAGAATGCTGGGTGGAGTGGGTGGAGGAGGCACCTGCAGGAAGGGAGGAGTCTCCCCAGACATCACAGTGTGTTTCAGTCAAGCTTATCTCTCCCTCCCAGTGTCCCTACTCTCAACTTGTGAGGACCGGGGAAGGGAGTGGGGACTCAGAATGATGAGAGAAAAACAGTGAAGCTGAAGGCTGTTTGAGGGGAGCAGGGAACTACACCTGTCACTCCAGAGAGATGCTGGCCTCATTGTTCAGGGAGCACCTTCCGGAGAAGTGCTTCCAGCTACCCTTTCTCCCACCCATGCTGTTTTTTTTTTGGGGGGGGGGGTCTTCCTCTTAAGCCCCAAATTCCTCCATATCCAAACTTGTTCTTCCAGCATTCCAAGAGCTGGCACTGTGCTGTGCCCTGTTGGCATTGGCCTGGATTCTAGTTCCTGACTCTTGCCTCTCCCTCAGGAGTATGTACTCTGGCTTCTGTGCAAAGAATCCCAGGAAACTTGGAAAAGCAAGTTTGGGGCAGGGCGAGCTCTGCGCCCTGGCAGTCATACCCAGAAACTCCTATGTCCTAAAAAATCACCCAACACTTAACAGGAAGGCAAATGACCGTTGGCACCCCATTACCCAATTCTACCTTGGAACCCAGCCTACCCGTACTTCCACCCCAGGTTTGCTTAATGATCTAACGTCCCTTGATTTCACTTGTTATTTACTATTGATTAGGACCCAGACTTTGTGAAGTTACATGTTAATCTGCAGACTTTTTGTCAGTAGAAATGCCAATGATTTCTGTCTGAGAAGAGAAAACAAAGCCAAAGGTTGCAGCTTTATTTCCCTGTAGGGCATCGATCACTTTGCCCCTCGTTTGGCAGACTGACTTTGCCATGTCTGCCTAGGCTGATGAAACAGAATCTTTTTTCCCTGACACTTTGAACAAACCTCAGTATTTTGCCAGTTCTTCGGGTTGATAAATCAATGCGTTTGTTCCATGTTTATTTCCGTGAGAGGCTTCCTTTTAACATTTTAAGAATATACTCAACCTTGTCAAACTTGTTGAAGTAGGTGAGGAGGCTGAGAGACAATCGAGATGTTTAAAATCAACCTCTGGGGCCCGGCACGGTGGCGCAAGTGATTAAAGGTCCTCGCCTTGCACGCCCGGGATCCCATATGGGCGCTGGTTCTAATCCCGGCAGCCCCTCTTCCCTTCCAGCTCCCTGCCTGTGGCCCGGGAAAGCAGTCGAGGACGGCCCAAGGCTTTGGGAACCTGCACCTGTGTGGGAGACCCGGAAGAGGCTCCTGGTTTCGGATCGGCATAGTATCGACCCGTTGCGCTCACTTGGGGAGTGAATCATCGGATGGAAGATCTTCCTCTCTGTCTCTTCTCTCTGTATATCTGCCTTTCCAATAAAAAAAATAATAAATCTTTAAAAAAAAATAAATAAAATCAACCTCTGGGAAAATGACCAACACAGCCTTTAAGACCGGGGTGCACACAGACAGAGGGAAACTGGAAGACGCTCTTAGCTGGACAAAGTAAGGCTGTAAGAGAGACAAGTTATACTGACAAAACCATGGAGAGCATTGAAGAGAAAAGCAGAAGCCTTTCCCCAGACCCAAGGAGGATAAGGCTCTAGCAGGTAGACGGGGGTAGCTGCAGAGAAGAAACGAAGCCTGCCATGGAAGGAGAGGAGGACCTGGAGAACCGCTGACAAGGATTTATTGAGCAGTTGTCTCCAGGATGCCAGCACTCTTCTCAGAACTAGCTGTTGAGACACAGCCCCCGGTTCCAGGGAGTGTGTCTCCAGAAGCAGCACGTGCAGGTTAGACATTACAACACAGACTTCAGGAATTGAATGTAACGTTCCAAGTCAGTGGCTAGAGCTCATGATGCAAAGGAAAGAGTGACCACGGGGCTGGAGTATGTGACCTTTCGTGGCAAAAGATGTGATGAGGTTCATGGTCTTAAGGGGGGGATTTTTCATCCCGGATTATCTGCTTAGGCTTCAAGTACAACTAGATACTTCAAAAAGTTCATGCAAAGGGAAATCAAAAGTTTGTTTGGGTGGAAAAATTTTAGAAGAGTTGGCATTGTGGTGTACTGGGTAATGGTTTATATCCTGGGTGCTCCACTTCCAATCTAGCTCCCTGCTTGGGAGCAACTAAAGTTGGTCCAAGTGCTTAGACTCCTGCTACCTACATGGGAGATCCTGATGAAGCTCCTGGCTCCGAGCTCCTGGCTTTAGCTTGTTCCATCTCTGGCCATTGCAGGTATCTGGAGAGTGAACCAGTAGATAGAATTTCTCTCTCTCTCTCTCTCTCTCTCTCTCTCTCTCTCCTTCCCTCCCTTTCTCCCCCATCCCCTTTCAAATCAATCAATACTTCTTCAAAAAATTCTGAAAATCAAGCACAGTTGGTTGGTTCATAATATAACTTTCTGTGACTTTCTATGAAGATCCCTCATACATCGTAGAATTCCAAATAAAATCGGAGTTTGCATTCCTCTCTGCATGTACCCAGTGCAGTCCACCAGCGTGATGGGCTCAGGTCATCATCAGTCTCCAAGGTCGTGGCCTCCAAAATGAGATCATTCACAATGTCAGAAAACAAGAGTTCAGGTCACTTAAAGAGGAGGTCACCCAGCTCTCTTCCCTGCAGAGCACGTTACTGACCAGCCCAGACACGAGGAACAAAGAACGGCTTGTGTTCTTCAAGTCTGAAAGCAAAAGATGGAGCAGAACTCTCCACGAGGCTGTGCTTCCCCTCAGGCCTGGCCAGCTCTGCCCATTGGAAGCTGGGCCAGAGTCTACACCAACCCCTTCTTGGCCAGAAGCAGTCTGTTTCTAGGCCATCACAGCCTGCCTTTCTTAGACTGTCAACTCGAAAACCAAGAGTCCGAAGGGCCCACAGCCCCTCAAGATTTTATTAACAACCTGGAGAAAGATTTGCCATCAGAATTAAGGAACTGTTCAAATTGAATAAAGACCTAAAATAGACCAACAAGCAAGAAGAAATGCAGAGGAAAAGTGTGACGTCCTGGAACTGTGTGCAGGACATACATCTGCCTTCACAGAATTCTGAGACTTACTTACACCACACAACTGTCAATCAAGTTGAAAGACCGAAGGAGAATTGCAAACACAGCTGTGTTTATCCATCAACAGTGCTTTGGTGCCGTAGTGCTTTACAAAGCAGCTCCATGGACATTAACTTTTGGATACAGCCTAAAATCCGAGGACCAGGAGTGGCAGAGATACCATTCAATCCATTTTATGGACAGAGCTCAGAGAAACCACATGATTTCCCAAGACTATAAAACAAGAGCAGAGCTGGATTGGGGAACTGGATGTTTTTTCCACTCCAGATGCCATGTTCTTGTGAGGATCAGAGCTCTGATGACACTGGGCACATGGCTGAAAATCAAGGGAAGACCCTCAGAGTACCAGTCCCACACCTGAGAACACCACGTGTCCTATAAACTCTTGAGAAATGTGATCAACAATGGCGTTTGCTAGAAGGGACAGGGCTTCCATGCTGAAATGCTGCTGCTTGTGCAGGAAAATACCAGTTGAGTCCACAAAGAAGAATCCATTGTGGTATTCACAGGAGATCCCAGTTCAAATCTTGATGAGTGAGAAACATAAGGAAATAAAGTTACATTTAATTTTTAGGCATCTTAGAAGGCACACTAAAGATTAACAAAATAATAAAAATCCACCTGTAGTCTCACGATCCAAAATTATTAGCATTCCAACGTATGCCTTTACAGCGTCTCCTCTTCTTGCTGTTTTACTGGTTTGTTTATTTATTTTCGATTTGAAAGGCAGAGTGATAGAGGAGTGCAGGGGAGAGAGAGAAAAATTTTCCATTCGCTACTTTACTTCCCAAATGGCCTCATAGCAGGGTTGGTCCTAGCTAAAGTCGGGAGCCTGGAACTTGGGATGAGTCTCCAACTTGGGTGAAATGAACACTTGGATCACCCTCGGCTGCCTTCCCAGGCATATTAGCAGAAAGTAGAACAGTAGTGGAACAGCCTGGACTCAAACGAAAGTTCTTATATGGGGCGCCCACATTGCAGGCAGTGGTGTAGCTCCCTGCACCACAAGACCAGCTCCTATGACTCCTAATTTTTGTTTTCCTCCGCTTTGTTTTTCTCAAACATGTGCACACACACAAGACTATATTATATTATATTTTATTTTATTTTATTTTATTTTATTTTATTTTATATTATATGCATGTGCACATGCACACATACACACATGTATCTGGGCTCAAAATGTATATTCAGTCATAGATGCATATAACAATCCTCCAGTGTGATTGACATTCCTCTTTGATTGTTGTCTTGCATACCACAAAGAATTTCATCCTGTGAGTGAACAGAAATGAATGAATATCATCCACATCCTACCATGAAACATTTAAATAGTTTCCAGTTTCTTCTACTGATAACATCATACACTATTTCTCATTTCTCTATGCATCTCTCTCTCTCTCTCTCTCTCTCTCTCTCTCTCTCTCTCTCTCTCTCCCTCTCCATCCTCACTTCCCCCACCTCTCTTTATACACTTGCATTCAGAGCAACATCTGTATCCAAGATTTTTTTTTTTTTGGATGACTGATTTCTCACTAAGGAAGGTGCCTCCCTGATACCTCTCTCTTTGATGTGGATGTCCTCTCCAGGAAGCTTTTACCTGCTCTGAATTTCTGGGATCCGAGTTTGATCCTTCTCGCCATGATGGAAGACGTTTTAGGTGTTTCTCTTGCTCTATTTCTCCTCTTCTGTTTTTCCCATTGAAGCAAGTAGCACCAATGTCTTGACTATCCTGGAGGAGGTTGGTGACAGTCCTGTGAGCTGCTCTTCTTGACTTTTTGCTCTCTAAAACTCTAAGATGAATCAGGGAATCCAAAGATGCTTAGAGTGAACTTGGAGAGAGGGGAAGCCTGCAAGAGGGGCTCATACTCCAACAAGCCTGATCATGCTGACAGGAGGACCCTCCTGCCAATATAAGGAGTAGCCAGAGATACCCAGCAAGAGGGGTTGGTTGATGCAAAGTGCTTCACCTCAATACTTCATCAAGGTGGGGAGCACAGAGCCCTGGAGATCACCAAAGAGCCCCAAGACAATCGAATCTGTAACTAGAAAGAGAGGAAGGGAGATGGGATGGGCAGGGTCATGACAGGTTAGACTAAATCTGTACTGTTCTGTTTATAAAAGAAGCAGGAATCTGAGGGGGATCAGGGGTAGCATTTGGGTTTGACAAACAAGATTCTAGCTCTTATGAGATTGTGAAGGCGATGTGGTCTTGAATCTTTGTAAAGACTAACATTGAAGGGCAGGTGAAGGAGCCCTGAGTCTCCCCATGCTTAGCAAGCTCTCCTGGCCTCTCCCTGCCTCAGCAGCAGACCCTCTGAGGAGGATCATGTCACTGGTACAGAAATTTCACAACTAGAAAAGTGTCAGCCTCCCCGGTAGGCTGCAAAGAGGAAGATGGATGAAAGAAAACTGCATGTACCCACAGGTAACAATATTTGGGAATTAAGTCTATCTTGTTGTAAATTTTGAAATTCAGGCATGCTGTTTTCCCCCAATACCTATTTCCATGAATTGCTCGAAGGCTCCTCATATAGGAGATAAGTAAATTCATAAAATGAGGACCCGGTGCGATGGTCTAGTGGCTAAATCCTTGCCTTGCATGTGCCAGCATCCCCTATGGGCCCCAATTCATGTCCCAGCTGTTTCACTTCCCTTTCAGCGCCCTGCTTATGGTCTGGGAAAACAGCGAAGAATGGCCCAAAGCCTTAGGACCCTGCACCCCATTTAGGCTACCCGGAAGAAGCTCCTGGTTCAGCTTTGACCATTGTGGTCACTAGGGAGTGAACCAGCAGATAGAAGATCTTTCTCTGTCTCTTTCTCTCTGTAAATCTGCCTTTTCAATAAAAATTTTTTTAAAAAATTAAAAAATTGATCAAATGAAACAGATAAAAAGGAACATTATAATTATAGAAAACAGTGAATGGTAAAAATGATTGCTAGAAAAAGCAGTAGAACATATCTAATACGTGCTTATCCACAGTCTGAGACAATAAAAACTGACAAAAGAGACTAGGATAAACATATTCGCATGCATCTTAGCAAGATTTTTCTGAAACTAAAAAAAGCAGAACCTATATATGTGGGATAAAATTGGTCAGACAGTCAACACTAAAACAGCTTGTACAAATCAGCAGATCAAAGGATTCAAGTATTATCTGTATAGGAACAAGTCCAGAAAACTCATGCATAATATTAGGACAAGAGTGAACCAAATTGTATCACATTTCAAACTTCTGTTAAATAAGTAGATTTCAGCTGGTCTTGTCCACACACAAAATAAGCGACAATGTGTTGACATGTTCATCCGCTCCACTCTAGTGACAACTTTGCGTATCCCATGACAACATGTGTAAGCCTCAAAGGCACATAACAAAATTTAAAGATTTTAAGCTAGTGGAGTTTTTCAATAAAATCCTGCGTTTATTTTATAATAATGTACATATATGTAAATCTAGCAGACCTATAGTTATTGAGATATGCCTCAGTTGAGGCATATAGATATATTTCCTCTAAGATATGCAACCAAACAAGTATGCCAGCTTTTCACTGTTAATTAATATTTTCCCAAGGGAAGGAAATAAAAGGCAGAGAAGGAGTGAAGATACGATCCTTTTTGCTTTAGATTTTATTTCCCCTGATTTTATGAATAACGAAACCTAACGAATGCCAAAATTTTTTCAGGTATCCAGTCAAAAAGGTCAAGCTATTCCTCACATGAAAATTTCATTAGTATCAGAGCCCATCATGTCAATGAGCTCATCAGTAGCAGAATCTTGTGGAAAAATGATTCTTCATGCAACTTTCATATCTGAAGGTTGTATGCGAATGGTTCTGAATGTGTGAGAACGTTAGGGGCTGTGTTGCACATGACTTATTCTCCAAGAAACTACTGAAGAATGAATTATAACCAATCAAGAATAACTGGAGAAATCTAAGTGAATTGGGAAAAAGAAAGATATATTTAGTCACATATCTTGACCAGAAATAGAGAAGCTGACAATGAAAAAGTAGAATGTGAAACTTTTTTTGCTTGACAATGCTAAAATTATGGCCTAACTGAAGCCACGGGAGACACATCATGGAGCATTAGACTACTTGGAGACTCGGGAAGTTTCCTGGTTCCTGGCTTTGGCCCAAATCTACCCTGGCCATTGTAGTCGTTTAGGGAGAGAATCGAAGGATAAATGATCTCTCTCCTTTTCTCACTCTAATTTTAACTTTCATGTGTTTTTTTCAAGATTTGTTTTTATTGTAAAGTCAGATTTAGAGAGAGAAGGAGAGACAGAGAGAAAGATCCTCTGTCCACTGGTTCACTCCCCAAGTGGCTGCAACAAATAAAGCTGAGCTGAGCTGATCCGAAGCCAGAAGCCAGGAGCTTCTTTTGGGTGTCCCACATGGGTGCAGGATCTCAAGGCTTTGCACTGTCCTCTGCTGCTTTCCCAGACCACAAGCAGGGAGCTGGATGGGAAGTGGAGCTGCTGGGATATGAATCAGTGCCATATGGGATCCTGATGCATGCAAAGAGAGGATTTATCCACTGAGCCATTGCACTGGGCCCTCTAATTCTAACTTTTAAATAAATAAAAACATATAGGCTCTCTCTTGATGTGTAATTTCATTCAGATCTCCCAAGTACTTGGACCATCTTCCACTGCTTTCCCAAGTCCATTAGCAGGAAGCTGGTTCAGAAATGGAGCAACTGGGACTTAAATCAGTACTTTTCAGGGATATGGAACCACAAGACTGGCCTAACCCACTGTGCCACAACACCAGCTCCAGTTTCTTCCTTTTAATGATACTTATCGCAAACAACAGTGATATAGCCTATTATAGCAGGAACTCTTCAGAGTCCTCAACCACTTTTTGAGGACATACCAAAGTCCAGGGCCAAAACATTTGAGCATCATTGCCACTTGGCAACCATAGAAGAGGCTGAAATGCATCCAATTCATTGACATGCAAAGACCTTCAAGTCACTCTGTTTTGTGAAAAGGCCAAGTTACCTAACCATCTGTGTAGCATCAGCCCACCGGCACACCAACAAAGAAGGTGACACCGTACTTTGCTGCCATGTCTCTTCTCTGCAAAATGTTTAGTAGGAGGAAGAGCCGCTTAGCTCAGAGGAGACCAGTGGATGGAAAGCCGGGGAGGGAAGGGCTCTCATCTTTTGCTGTGTATGTCTGTACACAGCTGGAGGCTTTCACAGGGGCACTCGTTTGCCACATGGCTTTTTATTTCTCTAAGAATGAAGTAAAAGGTCAATGTCTGGCTCAGGAAAAGATGGGAGTGAGGCAACGGTCTGGCATTGGAGCTTGGCAGTGACCTTAAGAACCACGCTCGCCGGACTAGCTTTCTGACCGAGCCTGGTCATACTGTTGCTACTCTAACAGCTTCCTCACAGATGAGCAGACTTCTGCTCAGGCAGATGTCCGGAGAGAAGTGAGAGTTCTCAAACCACAGCCATGCTCAGCCCGCACAGGGTCCCCCACTGCCGTTGCCAAGGTGCCAGACACACCACAATCACATATGCATGTGAGGCGGGGAAGCCTCACTCCAGGTCCAGCCAGGCCCACTGCCAGAATTATGGTCCCAGCCGGCTTTAATTGCAGTGTCCCCATAGCAACCTGATCACTATGGTTACTGAAAACTGGTCTGATCAGCCATCCTTAAAGTACAGGGGAAAGGAATGAGACCTTGAGATCATCAAATGCCAATCCAACATTTCACACATAGGGAAATGGAAACCAAAGAAGGTGTTTTATTTACCATCGATGGTAACCATCCATGCTGACTCTAACGATAATGCCTTAGCCTGCATGCTTATTCCAAACACGGACTCAGCTTCCAAACCTCCCACTGTACACGTGAGGAAATGGGATGAGGAACAACAGGCTTGCTGAAGCTGGTGGTAGCACAAGTTGAGCTCAGACTTGTGTACTCTTCCTTTTTAAAAACTTATTTTCAACAGAAAGAGATCTTCCACCTGCTGGTTTACTCACCAAATGCCCACTATAGTGAGGAAGCCACAAGCCCAGAACTTAATTTGTGTCACCAACGTGAGAAGCTCAGATCCGCGTGGGAAGCATGGACCCAGGTACTTGACCTGCTGCCTCTCAGAGTTTGCAAAAGCAGGAAACTGGACTACCTGCTGTGCCACATGCCAGTCCAACAGTTTGTCTTATGTCTAATCAGAACCTTCTTCGGGATCCCTGTTTTGCCATTGGATTATGTTTTTATTGATCCCTTAAGAAAGTGCAGAAAGAACAAAACTGAAGAGTTTACTATATATTAAATATATACACCCTATATAATATGTTTTTTAGAAATGAATTCACTTAATTCCTTCATTTAGCCAGCCAAAATACTAAGGCCCACTAACGCCAAAAGATTAACTAAGGACCCTTCTGCACCACTGTGCACTCAGGTAGATGAGCATACTATCTGTTTTCTGCTGATAGGAGGTGGGCTGGGTGCCCACCCTGCCCCTCCCCCTCACCACAGACTCCCCGTTCAGCTCTTCTACTCTCCAAGGTTACCATCTGGAGCTAGACTCTGGGGAAACAGTCACTAAAGCAGAAATTGAAGGGAGTTTTCTGGAGAGTGCCCTTGAAAACATCACCTGTAGGGAGGGTGAGGACTGGGCCAGGTGGAAGGCCCAGCCACGACAGCAGGTTCTGCCAGGAATCTGCTCCCCTGGGGAACACAG